TATGTCTGCACCCCTTTACCCCCTCCAGATCTCCCCATGCCCTTCAGAAGGGAGCCAGCCTGGCCCCCCCTCACCTCGACCTCACGGAAAGCTGAGCACGGCCAGGCTTCACCCCCCTTCCCTCCCGGTGTGGGAGTCTCCCCCAGGGGAGGCCGCTGGCCCAAAGCTCGCAGCCCCTCACCCCGGGTCACTCCCATTAGGTAAAGGAGCAGCTCGTCCTGGCGGGGGTATCTCCCTCTCGCGCTTTCCTTGTATTGTACGGGCCTGGGTCATCGAGGAAATCTTACAGGTCCTTCTGCTGCCGAGTGGTCACGGGGGAAGCCCGGCCCCCTTCCCCCCATTGTCAGCGGCCGGGCCGTATCCTCGCTCCGAGCCCCGGCCCCTAAAAATAGCTCTTTGTCAGGCGATTGTTCCGACACCTTCGCGGCGGCATTGACGTGGGCCGGAGCGGGAGAGCGGTGGGGTAGGTGGAGGGGAAGGGCTGGAGGTCCCCCATGGGACCGCTCGGAGGATTTGCCGCTGATAACGGCCCCTGTTGTGGGGAAATGGGCTCCCGGCGTGAGGCACCGTGCCCAAGGCCTTCCCGTGCCGCTGCTGCCCGCTGCTCACCTCTCCCCCACCTGCCCCAGCTCCGGCCAGCCCGCACCCCGCACCACCCCGGCTCACCAAGCAGGGGAAGGGTCTCCCCAGGGCACAGCGGGGGATGGAGCCCTCCCAGGCCCCCAGTTCAGATCCTGCAGGGTGGGGTCCAGCCCTGCCCCCCAAACTGGCTCCCTGGGGTGTCCCTGCCTAGTTACCCATTGGGGCCAGGACAGGCAGGGGCAGCCCTGGGGGAGTGGGGCTGCTGGTGCGTGGGATGGCCACATTTTGGAAGGTTTAAGGCCATCCCTGCAGCACTGTTCCTGCCCTGAGCATCTGCAGGCATTCCCTGCGGTGAGACCTTTTCCCATCCCCTCTCAGAGCCCCATGTCCAGCCGCGGTGTATGTTTGATTGAGTGTGGGCCCTGCCGTGGGATCCCAGGGAGCCGGCACCGCTGCAGGGCTTGTGCTGGGAAAGGGGCTGTGCAGTGGGGACATCCTGGGACAGCCTCCTCCCTTGTCATCCCCTGCCACCCACTGCCAGCTGAAGGTGACGACCCCCCCGGGCCCTCTCCTGCCCAGCCACCCCAGCTGCAGAAATAGGATTTTATTTCCCATGAAGAGGTTTGGATTAAAATAACCTCCTGGCCCAGATCCCTTTTTTCTGATGTGGCTGGAGATGTTTGCCCACAGTGCTGCTGGGTATCCAAGCCTTGACCCTCCAGGCTGCTGTCCCCATGGTGGGGACATGCCTGTCCCCTGCCTGGCCTTCAGGGACATGTTCCTCTCCCAGCCATGCCTGGCCTCAGTGACTCAGAGCCTCTGGCCCTGCTCACCTGCTGCCCACAGGCTGAGCTGAGCCCCCAGGGCTGCTGGCCATGGGGCAGGGCACGGGGCCAGCCCTGCTCTGATTACCCCCAGCGTTTTTTCCTTTTTCTTCCTTAATTTACTGAGGGCTAAATCCAAATATTACAACTTCCCCTCCTCGCCGCTGGTTACGCAGGCGGCCCCGGCCGGGCATTGTCTTATTGTTTGCAGAGGGAAGCTCCAGCGGGAGATTAACCTGGTGTTCACCCCGCGCCACGGCCTCACACCCTGTCCCTGCTGCCGGGCCCGTGTCCCCAGGGACCGCAGCTGGCACGAGGTCCCAGCAGGGTGAACAGCTCCGAGGGCTCCTGTGCATGGGGGGGACGTGGCAGCCCTGCAGCAATGCCCGCTGCACCCCTGGGATATGTGGGACCTTGGGGCATTCTTGCCGTGCATCCCTCGTGATGGTGAGGATCTGCCAGGTGTCTTGGGGGTCTCAGGCAGACCCTTTGCCTGTTTTCTTCCCCAGGGACCCTGGCAGGATGCCAGTCTGGGTCTGCTGGCATGGAGAGGCAGAGACTGCCCAGCACCTCCACCTGGAGGACCACCTGGATGGTCTGACATCCCATCCCATCCCATCCCATCCCATCCCATCCCATCCCATCCCATCCCATCCCATCCCATCCCATCCCTCCCTGATCCTTCTCTCCACCCTGCCCTGGGCAGCAGGGATGTGTCACACTGTCTCCACTCAGTGCCATCTAGACCTTGGGGCTCCCTTCCCAGTCCTTCACCCCACATCTGACAGGGCTCAGAGTGACCTGGGACACTCAGTTGATGGCTGTCACTGTCACAGGGAGGATTCCTCAGGCAACAGGCAACTGAGCTTTGCTCCAGGATGCACTGGGGTCTTTATCATGAGCCTCCACTCTGGGGGAAGCCCAGGGAGGGTCAGGCAGCACCCAAAGCTGTTGCCAAAGGACGAGGAATGAGTAGGGCTGGATCCTGGGCCCAAAATCTGTCTTTGTGTCCTCTATCCCTGTCTGGCTCCTCTTGCTCCGCTGACTCAGACTCAGACATGGTTTGACTCCACAGCCCCGTCCTGGGGGCGGTGTGTCGGGAAAGCAGCGCTGCCCACGGACTGCGGGCTCTGCCTGACCCCTCTGCCCTCTGTCCTCCCACACCCCATGGCCAGACTGACCCTCCTGTGTCCCTGCTAGGCCCTGGATCCCCTTCCAGCAGCACTGGTGCACAGCAGTACCAGGGGCTATCAGGTCCTGGCCCCTGTCACGGGGGGTGAGCCCCAGCCTGACCCCTGCCCATGGATCCAGCAGCTCCTGCCTGGCCAGACCCAGCCTCATCCATCCCAGCAGCAAGGCAGCTCCCAGCACCCGCGGGTGCAGCCCTGCTGCATTCCAGCCTGGCTGGCCTGCCTGCGGGGAGGCTGAAATATTTGGGAGGGAATGGAGAAGGGAAAGGGGAAAATAAATAATAAAATAAAAATCTATAAAAAGAAAGTTTAAAAACACAAGTTAAAAAAAAAAAAATACCAGGCGCGGAGTGCAGCTGCGGTTCTGGTTCCAGTTCCCAGGTGATGTCAGGCCTGGAGCCTCTCCAGCCCTGGCCCCTCAGAGACGGTCTTTGTGGGTTCAGCACTGAGTGTTTTTCCTTCCTGAGACTCGGGGACACCTTCCTGTCTCAGAGAAAGCGGCCAAGAGCCTTTCCAAGGGTGTCTGCACGCAGGAAGGGGAGAGGATGGGAGGGGAGCGTGGCTGAGCTCGGTGCAGGGCTGCGGCTGCCGGGGCGCCGGCGGTGGCCGGGAGCGATCGGTGGCCACAGCGCTCACCCCACACGGGGCAAAGGGGCACCCGGCTCCCACCAGCCCGGCAGCTCTGAGTCACCGTTTCCCTCTCACGGTGTTGGGAGGGGCTGGAATGTACTGGGACCCACAGGCTTGTCACTGGGACATGCTGGGACCCTTGGCCCCAGTGCTGGGATGTGCTGGGATCCATAGCCTCAGCAGTGGGATGTGCTGGAATCCACAAGCCCAGCACTGGATGTTGTTGGGTGCCCAGCTTCTGGACTAGTACATGCTGGGATCCAGGGCTGTTACACTGGAGCTTGCTCTGGGGTCATTGTGCCTCCTTGGCACTGGGGTGTGGTGACATCCATGGCCCTAGCACTGAGACATGCTGGATCCCACAGCCTCTGCACTGGGCTGTACTGGGATGCATTGCCTTTATACTGGAGGTTTCTAGGGCCCCAGTCTCTGGCACTGGACTGCATGCACAGCTCCTGTGCAGGGGTTCACTGGGGCTCATGGTCTTCATATTGGAGCTTGCTGAGGCTCCAGTTGCTGGCACTGGGACATCCTGGAACACTGGTGCTCAGCCCTGGGACGTACTGGGACCTATACACTCAGTGCTGGGACCTGCTGTGCCCCCAGCACTGGGACCACCAGCCCTTGCTGACCCCCTGGGGGGCTCCAGAGCCACTACTTCACGAGGACAGTCCCCTTTTATGTGCGGGTCGGGTTGTTTGCAGAGCACAGCATCCCCCACGGCCCCTGCCCCCCGATAAACCCAGGGGCAGGGATTCTGTGTCCTGGGCTGTTTGGAGAATCTCACGGCTGTTTATTGGGGTCTGGGACACATTAGCCACGCTGAGAACAAACCTCTCCCACCCACCCCGGTCCCTGCTTGGGACCAGCTCTCACAGCTGCACCGTGCTGTCAGCTCCATAAATCAAACCCGGGGGAGGGAGCCCGGGGCAGGCTCACCTCGGTGAGCAGGGGGCCAAGAGGTGCTGTGGGCTCCCAACAGAGCCCCTGCCCAGGGCAGGCTCCAGTGGGACCCCCAGCGTGCTCCCCTTGCTCCAGGCTCCAGGACCCTGGGGAGATAGGGCAGCTCCAGTTCTTCAGCCCTTGGGGGGAGCCCCCAGCTGCCCCATCCACAGCTGCCTCTGCTCCGTGGGACACGCTGGCCCCTGGGAGCCGCCAGCCCCGGCACAGCACCATTCCCAGGCTCAGCTATCCGCACCGCCCAGCCAGTCCAGCCCCCTCCAGCAGAATCCCATGTGGGGATCTGGCCTGGGAACCCCACATGTCCCCACCTGACCCCGTGCAGGTGCTGCTGCCTGCAGCCCCACTGTACAAGGCTCTGCATGGCCATTGTGGTGGCAGTGGCAGTCACAGCAGGACAGTCGTGCTGGTGGCAGCAGTGGCAACGGTGGCAGTTGCAGTAACAGCAACATCGCGCCAGTCATGATGTCCCAGGTGGAGGGCAGGGCACAAAAGCAGTCACACCAACACTGACCCACCACTTGGGCACACGTGCCTGCAGCAGGGGGCTGGCAGTGCCATCCCCATCCCATGGCATGGCACTGACCCCTTGGGACTTCTGCACTTCTTTGTGGGGCTAAAGCTGTCCTCAGGGCCTGGGGACACAGGGACAGTTCACCCAGGGGTCTTACCCATGTGAATCCCACTGTGGCACAGGCTGGGATGGTCACACTGGTTCCAGTGGCACCGACCATCAGTGCAGGACTGGGGGCCCAGAGCCATCTTGGGGACCCCACCTCACCCCACACAGGGGTGACAGGCAGGCACTGGCCCATCAGAAAAATAAGGTTTTATTTTCCAAGCGGCTGCACGTGCACAACCAGCATCCCCAGGGCCACGACACTGTCCCCCCGGAGCGCCTCGACGCCGGCTGCACATAGGCCCCTTCCAGTCCAGCCCCGGGGCGCGGGGACCCCCCTCCCCGGCCCTGCCCCGCGTGGGCAGCCTGGGCCACGGGAGCGTCCTCCCGCCCCACTGCCGGCTCCAGGGCCAGTGTTGGTGTGGTGCCAGCCTGGGCTCGGCCGCTGCCACCTCAGGTGAGCAGCTCCCTCCCTCCCCGCTGCGGTCTCTGGGCTGGCGTGTGCGGGCTCTGTCTGCCTGTGCCGCTGTGTCAGGTGGGTGCTGCCGGAGCCCGGCTCATCTCCGCGACACTCGCAGGGGCGTCACCCCTCGCACCTTCAGGCAGTTGCCCCCGAGGTCCCTCCGACTGCCCTGCAGAGAGAGGAGGGAGAGCTGCAGGTACCATGGCGTGTCTGGGTGGGGGGCACCCCGCTCCTGCCCACTGCCCACCACACCGACTCCTCCATGGGGACCCGCTGTGAGATGGCCAGTGGCTCAGTCCTGGGGTGGCTCTGTGCTGCCTGGAGAGGACAGAGAGATGGGGCTATGCCTGACAAGTGGTTGAGTGTGTGGCTGAGGGTGCTGTGCTGGAGCCCTCCAAGGTGGGTCCCCCTTGGCCTTGTCACCCTGCAGGACACAGCCCCCATGGCTGCTCAGCACTGCAGGGCTCAGACCTGTGGCAAGGGCCAGTAGCACCCCAGGACAGACACATGGCCCCAGACAGATCCACAGCCCTGACAGAGTCCAAACGGGGATGGGGAGACTCAGCTCTACCTCGCAGTTTATGAGAACAATATCAGCCCAGTACTGCCCAGTATAACCCAGCACAGACCAGCATGGTCCAGATTTAGCCCAGAACATTCCAGTATAACTCAGCATGGATCAGCAGAGCCCAGTTCCAACCCAGCCTATTTCCAGCCTTGCATAGCCAAGCATGGTCCAGTACAGCCCATTTCCAGACCACTTCCAGCACAGCACAACCCATTTCCAGCCCTGCCCATTTCCAGCCCTGTACAACCCCTTTCCAGACCAGCCTCAGGGCTGGGATGCAGAGTCAGATCCCAACCCAGCTCCCCCCATTGCCCTCCAGCAGGAGTTTCCCAGCCCCAGTGCCTCCACAGGGTCCCCTGGGGGGGTCCAGCACTGTGCCAGACCCCTGGCTCCAGCCCCAGGAAGCAGCCCAGATGATTCCAGCTCTGCCAGGGACCAGGGCTGGAAGACCCCAGGAGGGCTGGAGAGGCTACTGAGGGGGGCGGCAGGAGCAGGGGAATGATTAAAAATGGAGCAGCAAAATGTGAAAAAGCTCTGAGGGCTGGAGTGTGACCCATGGCTGTATTGCCTGGGTCACACAAGGGACATCTTGAGTGTCTGTGGGGACAGTGGCAAGTACAGCAGCCCCTGCTCGCAGCCCTGCCAAGGGATGTCCAAGAGGTCGGGCAGCTTCCAGCCCCTCACCCTGCACCCCATATCCTGCACAGCTATTCCTGGGTCAAGCACACCCCGGCATGGCCAGCAGGGTGGGCTCACCACAGGAAAGGTGCCCCTTGAGCCACAGGGTGCTGGGGGGAATCAGCTGATGGCTGGGCAGGGGTGCTCTGCCATGGCCCAGCTCAGCCGTGTGGGAGCTGTGCCAGTGCTGCCAGCAGACCCTGCATGGGAACACGGCATGGGGAACTCTGTCTGGGCCCCCTCGGGGGCTGTCTGCTGGGCTCTTCCTGTCCTCATCACATCAGGGAGGTGCTGGAGTGGCCCTGCTGCAGTGCTAGTGGGCTGGCAGGGTTGGGGATGGAGATGGGGATGGGAATGGGGATTGGGATGGAGAAGAGGTCAGCCAGTGAACTCTAAGCTCCCCCTGGGACAACCAATGCCAGCTCTGGGGTGACTGTTTAACCCCTGAGACCTCCCAGCCCGGATGGACGTGGGGGAGCAGCCCAGCCCTCTGACGTGAGCAGGAGCTGTAGGCGTGTGGCTACAAGCAGGATTTGGCCAGGAGCAGCCAAAACCTCCAGTGGGAGCTGGAGCCAGAAGCCGTGGTTCTCACTGAGCCATGCCAAGTCTCCTGCCCCGCTCAGCCCAGGCAGGGTCTGCTGCCCCCCATCCCTTGGAGACATGCTGAGCCTCCTGCCCCACTCAGGCCAGTAAGGAGAGGAAGAACCCTAACCCATCCCAGAGCCCCGCTCACCCCCTTCCGCTGGTTGCTGAGGCAGAAGGTGCAGATGCTGCGGGGCTGTTTGCTGTCCAGGTCGCCCTTGGCGCCATAGATGGCACTGAAACAGGGCTGCCCGTCCTCGCAGCCCTCGCCCAGCAGCAGCACGTTGGCCAGGTGGGAGATGTAGCTGGAGGCCAGGCGGAGGGTCTCGATCTTGGACAGCTTCCGATCCACCGGCTCGGTGGGGATGAGGGTCCGCAGGGCGGTGAAGGCCGTGTTGACGCTCTGGGTCCGGTCCCGCTCCCGTGCGTTCGCCGCCTGCCTCTGCTTCACCATCACCATCGGCCCCGGCTTCCGCGGCAGCTTGCGGCGAGCCTCGGCGCCCTCGCAGCAGCCGAACGACTGGTCCGACGTGTCGCTCTCGCTGCGGTTCTCCTCGTCCTCCGAGAGCATGCTGAGGTCGGGGTAGAGCACGCGGGCGGCCACAGGGCGCAGCATGGTGAAGGCCATGGTGGGGTGCCCGCCCGCACCCCCGGCCCCGCTGGGGGCACCCCCCGGGCTGCGGGGAGCCTTCCCCCGCCGGCACAGCTGCGACGGCGGCTCCGGACGCCTTCCCGCTGCTGCTCCGCTGCGGCAGCTGAGCAGGGCTGGGACACTGTCTGCAGGGGGAATCGGGATTTATACGGCCTGGGAGGGGCTGGCTCCGGAGCCCACCCCCAGCCGGCCCCCCGAGCTCCGGCCAGCGGCCGGTGGCCAGCGGCCAGCGTCCTCACCCCAGCCCTCGGAGCCAGTGCTGGCTCTGGCCACCGGCCTGGCCCCGCTCCGGCACGCTGGCCTGGCTGCGGGCACCTCGACCCCAGGTCATGCCCACGGTGGTGACTGAGCCGTGGCAGTGCCAGGGCCACTGCCTGACAAGTGCTCCCTGTGCCATGGCCTCTGGCATCTGCAGAGCAATGTCACACACAGTCAGCGCACAGGCAGCGTGTCCCCAGCCCCTGCCTGGCTGTCCCTTGCCAGCCCTGGGTCCTGCACAGGGTGGCATGAGATGAACCTGGGGCACAGGAGCTGGGATGAGGAAGGCAACCAGGAGCGGGTGGCACTGGTGCGGTGCCAGGGTTGTTTATCAGAGGAATGCCAGTGGGGGACATGCTGCTGCCCACACCCTGCCATGCCCCCCTGGGACACGGTCTGTGCCCAGGAGGATGCCCAGAGCACTTAGGGAGCAGCAAGGGCAGGCAGCCCCCAAGGATGCACTCCTTGCTCCTCTGTTCCTGGGGCCTGGCACCGTGCCTGCCCACCATGGGAGGTGACAGGGAGACGTGGAGAGGCACGGGCAGCACTGCCGGCAGCGCTGCCAGGAGCATTTCCTCCCGCCCAGGAGGAAGGTGTGTGCCGGCAGTGGAAACACAGAGTCTTTTCCTGAGAGGGGAGCGATGAGCTGGCAGCAGCGGGAATCACCGGTGTCCTGGGAAGGGCTAGGGTTGCCCCCCATCCTGACTGCTGCTCCTTGTCATTCCCCTTGGCACTCAATGCCATAGACTATGGCCCTGCTCCTCCTCACCAGAGAGGTCAATGCAGGACCCCCAGCCCTGAGCCCAACCCTCCCAGGAGCAGGCAGGGGGGTAGCCAGATGAACCAAGCAGGCAGGAGGCTTCCTGCCTGCCTTCCTCCCCTTCCTCCTCCTCCATGATGCTCCAGGCATGATGCAGGTCAAGCAGCAAAAACATGTGGAGGGCAGGACCTGTCTCCTGGCAGATGGCCCCAGGGCTGCTGGGGATGTGGCTGGGAGACTTGGCAGTGCCAGCTGCAGTCCCCACTGTCCAGCAGCTCCACAGCCAGAGAGGGATGGCTGGGGAGAATCTTGGAGGCTTGCCAGGGCTGAGACTGTGGCCATGGAATGCAGCTGGGATATCACCAACACCCCGGTGAGGTGGTCAGTGGGGTGCCCTGGGGCCATGGAATGGGGTGGCATCATGTTCCTCAGTGCCCCATGGCCAAAAGCAGGTTGCAGGACTGCAGCTTGTGGTATGGCTTCTGGGGTCTGGGTCCCCCCATGGGCTCTCCTAGTGCTTCCAGGGTTTGTGGCTCCTGGACCATGACAGGGGCAGCTGTGCTGCCTGGCACAGGCACCGCTTCACTGCCTCCCACCCTGCTGGCTGTGAGCAAACGGCCCCTCTGCCCCCCGCAGGGCACAGGCAGCCCCCGGCTGGCGGGACCCCCGCCCTGTTTTCCTTCACCATTTGTCTGCCTGTGCAGAGCCTGTAAATCACAGTGGGGGGCAGAGGGATGGGCTGGGGCTGGTGGTCTTGCTGGGGCTGGGGATATGTAGGGCTGCACCAAGGGCCAGGGGTCCCACTGGAGCAGGGGACATGCAGGGCCACACCAGGGGCTGGGGACATACAGGGCTGAGCAAGAGGGCACGGATCCTCCTGGGGTGAGGATGGGCAGGGGTCTGCACTGTGTCTGCACTGACAGCTCTCACCATGCATCAGTCCCCATGAGGGACCCCGACCTTCTGTAGCATTTGCCAAGAGCAGGCCCCCACAAAAGGGTACGTGCAGGCAGTGCCAGGGGCAAAGCTGGGGAAGGGCAGGCCCTCGGCATGACAGGCAGGAAGCAGGCAGGGAACAGGCAGGGAGAAGGCAGGTGCCTGGACAGAGAGGGGAACCCTCACTCTGCCCCCCTCTCACCCCAGAGCCTTGCTGAGCCATGGCTGGGGGTCCACAGCAGCCCCTGGCTCTGACAGGTGGTAAGATGGATGGCAGGGGCTGTGTACTCAGCTGCACGTCCCACACATGGCCTCCAGCTGACAGGGACAGGCTGGGGGGGTCACCCAATCCCCACACCCAGCCAAACTGCCCCAGGGCTTTTCTGGGGGGCAGGGACAGGTGTGGGGTGCTGGTGGCCTGTGGGGTCTGGAGCATGGCACGACACAGGCAGGGAAGGAGCAGCAGACAGGAGATGTGGGGTGGGGACAGCACATGTGTGTGCCCACGAGTGTGTGTGGGGGTGTGCAGCTGCACACATCTGTACATCCAAGCATGCATAGATGTGTGCATAGGGTGTGCACAGGAATATATGTGAATATATGGCTGTGTGCCTGTGTTTGTGCAGTTGCACATGGATGTGGATGTGTTCCTGTGGGTGCCACGTAAACCCCAAATGCCACCACCTGCTGCTGCAGTGACACCTCCATGTTGGCACAGACATGTGTATGTGTGACCACCACCTTGCCAGATGCTGCACACAAAAGGATGGATGGACAGGAGCTGTCATCCCTGGCTGGGAGAGCAGCAGGAGCCATGGGAAGCAGGGAACGCTGCCGGCTCCCTGCCTGTCCAGCTGCCTGCGGATGCTGTGGCTGCGGGGCAGGAGGACGTGTGGCAGCAGCCAGGTTTTCCTGTGCTGCCTGGCAGGCATCTGGTACAGGGCATGAGCCCCTGGGCCCCCTCAGCTCCCCAGCACTGTGGCCTGGGCTCTGACTCAGCCAGGCAGTGCAAGATGCAGCTGAGGCATCACAAACCTTCTGCCAGCTTGAGTGGGTGCCAGGACACGGTTTAGCCTCACAGCTGATGCAGCCAACTAACTGACCCCTGGGCAGAGGGTAGCACCAGGCATGGCTCAGGCATCCACGGCACACTGCATGGGATATACAGCATGGAGGGGACATGGCCTGAGCTTGGCTTGCAGCCCTGACTCCAGTCCAACCAGGCACCTCCTGCTCGGTGGGCATCGTGGGCTCAGGGTGCTGGGCACCCTGAGGGCTGGGTCCTGCCTCTGCTGCCAGAGAAATGCCCCCTGCCCCCCACACCAGGGAGTGTTTATCTTGGAGGTGATACTTAAGTGTAAGAAAATAAACAGGGAGCAGATGGGGCAGGGGCCAGGGCTGCCCCCGGCCCCATGGGAATGCTCCAGCCCTGCTGGGAAAACACCACGGCCGGCGAGGCAAATGGATTCCAGACCCACAGCAGGGCTGGAACATGTGGCCACCAGGACACTGGGCCTGACCTTGCTGAGCCCTAATGAAGCAGTGCTGGACTGGTCCATTCAACTCCACCCCACCCTCTCCCATCCCATCCCACCCTGTCCTATCATGTCCCATCCTATCCCATCACAACCCATCCATGCCATCCTACCCCATCCCATACTACTCCGTGCCCTAAGCCCACAGCCCCTGACCAGACCTTGGCACTGGGGGATGTCCAGGACTGACCCCTCTGCCTGTGGCTCCCCAGTTTCAGGGTGCTCAGGCCAGTGAGGCCACAGGCCTGGGAGCTGCCCCATCCCAAATGCACAGTCCTGTCCAGCTGGGCACACACCGTGTCTGAGTCCAGCTGAGCCCAGTGAGGCAGGGATCTCATCCCAGGGGAGTCTATCCCTGCTCCCCAACACTGGGAGCCCCCGGAGCCCCTGGAGCCCCCTGAGTGAGGAGGAGCAGTGAGTGCCATGGGGACTGGGCATCGAGAAACATTTTGGGGAACTGGAGAGTTTCCCCATTTTCCTGGATCAGGGCTGTACCAGGGTGACCTGGTGGGTCTCCAGGCAGTGTGGGAAGCACCAGGCCCCCCCTGCCCCCCGGGCTGTACCTGAGGGCCGGGGCTGCTGGTCTGGAAGGCATTACACGCCTGTCGCACGGGGAAGTCTGTCCCAGTTCCGGAGCTGGGACCCCCCCCCCCACCCGGCCCGGGCTGGGGGGAGCCCACAAAGAGCCTTTGTTCCTGCCCTGGAACGAATGGATTGGAGGCAGCCGGATCGGCTGTCAGCCGGCAACACCAGAGACCCCGCGGGTCAGGCAGAGGGAAGGGGGACAGGTGGAGGATGGATGGATGGAGGCAATCAGGGCTCTGCAGAGACCCATTCCTGTGCCAGCCAGGGGGTTGTGGCACCAGTAGCCCCAGCTGGGGACCAGCTCCCACTGCCCACACCATGCCAGCCCCATGGATGCACAGTCAGCCCTGGAGATGCTCACGCAGCACCTTGGACACAGCTCCGGTGTCAGGGAGCCCTGGGAGTGATGTCAGGACACCCTGGGACTGGCACGGACCTTTGGCACTGTTTGCAGGGCATGGTAAGCTGGAAAAGCAGATCCTGCAGCAGGCTTCCCAGCTGGAAGAAGGCTCCATGGCTTGCGGGAGTTGCAGGATCTGGGCAGCCTCAGTTCATTCCCACTTTGTGGAATTCCCAGCTCTGCTGAGCTGCCTCTTATCCAAGGGATGAGGGGCACAAGTCTGGGAGGGTGGGGCAAACAGCGTTCATGTGAGATGCCCAGCAGTGGGGGCACACAGGATATAGGCAGACATCAGTCCCTGCCATGGGACACCCGTTTGGGTGCACTCTGGAAATGTCCACATTGCCCCAGGAGCTGCCGCAGGAGCTGCCACCTCCTCCCTCCACCCCCCCTGCTCTCTAACAAGAGGAAACTTTTTAGCACGCCACAATTCTGAGGAGAAATTTATGGCCCATCAGGGAGCCGCGGGCCAGGGCTGCTCTCCGTGAGTGCTTGCAGGGTTTCCTCCCGGCACACAGCTGCTTTCATGCGGCACATGCAGCTCTGCCGCGCCGGAGTCTCCCTCCGGTCCCTTCCCCTCACCCGGCACCCCCAGCCCACCCTGCTCTTCCTCCCCAGCGGATCCTGCGGAAAGGTGGAGGCATGGGTAAATTGTGCCCCGTCCGATGCCAGCTCTGCCAGCTCCTGCCATGCAAACGACCCGGCCGTGCCCTCCTCTCCCAGCCCGTTTCTGCCCTAGGGAACAGGATGCCTTCCGGGAGGAGCATGGCTGATGGGGCAGAAGTGTCCGGCCGCAGTCCCAGTCCTTCTGCTGACTCACGGCCTGGTGAGTGACTCAGTGGCCTTTCCCCTCCCTGGATGGAGGCTCTCGGTTTAGAGGGATGCTGGGATGCCCAGGGGATGCTCGGGGCGGTTTTTCCAGGCTGCACGTGGGGTGACAACGTGGTGCTTGCAGAAATGACAGCATCCCAGCATGGCAGGACCACATGAGCCCCCACAGCTGGGCAGAACTGACCCTGAATTCAGCTCTATGGCAGGGTGGGCTGGCAGAACATTGTCCTGCTACAGCATCCATCCCTCAGCACAGCATCCAGTCCCTTGCAGAACATCCATCCCCTTGCAAAGCATCTGTCCTTGTTCCGTGTGCCCACAGCCACTGCTCTTGCTGCTGCCAGGCCACCATGCTGTGCCGTGCTGTGCCATGTTGGACCACTGCATCCCTGCTCCCTACCTCAGCACCCTCTAGCACCACGCCAAGGAGCTGCAGGGGTTTTGATCATCTTTATTCCAGGTGCAGCAGTGGCTGCCACCAGCACAGGATTTTGGAGATATTCCCCACAGAGACTGAGACCACTGGTGAGCCCAGAGTCGCTGAGGGAGGGCTGGGGACTGGCCATGCCAGGCCGGCTGTGTCTCTTCCCTGTGTCCTGATTCTGTTGTGTCCCAGTTTGCCTGTACCCCTTCCCAGTTCAGCTGTGCCCCGAATGAGCTGTGACTTGTCCCAGTTCCAGTGTGCTCCGGTTCAGCCATTCCCGCTTGAGCCATGCCCCGGTTAAGCCCATTCCATCCCGGTTCAGCTATTCTCGGTTGAGATGTGCCCCGGTTTGGCCTGTTCCATCATGGTTCATCTATTCCCGATTGCGCCGTGCTCCCGTTCATCCCACACCAACCAGTTCATCCTGTCCCGGTTCCTCCTGTCCCGGTTTATCCCGTCCCGTCCCTGTTCATCCCGTCCCAGTTCATCCTGTCCCGCCCCGGTTCCTCCCGTCCCGTCCCGTCCCGGTTCATCCTGTCCCAGTTCATCCCGTCCCGTCCCGTCCCGTTCCGTCCCGGTTCATCCCGTCCCGTCCCGGTTCCTCCCGTCCCGGTTCCTCCCGTCCCGTCCCGGTTCAACCCGTACCGGTTCCTCCCGCCCCGGTTCCTCCCGTCCCGGTTCATCCCGTCCAGTCCCGGTTCATCCCGTCCCGGTTCCTCCCGTCCCGTCCCGGTCCGCGCGGTCGCTCCGGCGGCGCAGCGCGGCACAATAGCGCCACCTGCTGGCCCCGCCGGGCACCTCCCGGTACCGGCGAGAGCCCGACCCATCCCGGCTGCCGGGACCCCGGGGACCCTCCAAGTCTTGGGGGACTCTCGCCTCATCCCGGCTGGAGGGACCATGGGGACTCCCCAGGGCTGGGGACGCCGACCACATCCTCACCGAGGGCTCGCGGGTCGGAACCAACAGGGATAGAAGGGGCTGCTGGGCATCCTCGGGGTGCTGGGCTAGCGCAGGTGAGGCGTGGAGGAGCCGAGGTAGGTACGGAGGTCGCTGAGGGTGGAGGGGATGATCTTGGCTGGGATGGTCTCCCGGCGGAGTGCCTGGTGGGCAGCATAGCGGTGGCAGCCCCCGAAGGAGTAGAAATAATCGCCGCCCTCACTGCCTTTGATCCAGAGCACGTCGATGGGGGGCACCCGCTCGGGATCCTCCTGGGAAGGGGAAGAGACGCCCAAGAGCAACACACCCCGGCACTCCCAGCCTCCCGACACCCCCCGAGCGGACTGTGCCAGGGCTTGGGTGCTGACGGCTTCCCCAGCAGTGCCCCTGAACGGGTGCAGGAGGGGCTCCCTCTGCTTCCCGAGGGCAGTGCTCACCTGCAGGGTCTCCATCAGGCTCTGCACCTTTCCCGGCTCCAGCTGTGCCGGGATGGGCCGGATGAGGACCCGCATGGGCACGTTGTGCACGGCCGAGATGTGCTGGGTATGGATGCTCCTGTCCTCAGCCTCTGCCATGGCTGTGGCTGCCGGCCGGCCTTGGCTTTCCTCTGTCGTGCTCAGCCGAGCCCTCCGCTGTGCCCCGAGCAGTGCAGCGCCCAGCCGTGCCCCTTTACTTCCTCCTTGCCCGGCCATCGTCATCGTCACGGCCTCCGCCCCACTGTTTTGCAGAGTCACAGTGAAGGGGCAGGACAGACTTCCGGGCCGGGTGCCAGAGCCGGCTGGCCCGCTGCCTGCTCCGGAGAGCCTGCGGTCAGGGCTGCCCTGGGCTCGTCCTTCCCATGGGCATGCGGCAGCTGAGCTCCCCACCGGGTGTGCTGGGATCCCTGCCCTGCCCCCTGGGGGTCTCGGGTCCCACCTGTCCTGGACGGGGCCCAAAGGGTCATCCTGCAGCTGAGAGGTGGGATATGCCCCCCGCCCACCTGGCTGTAGCAGGAACACACCCCCAGCCCAGAGCCCCCTCCCTGCTGCGCTGACACCTACGGGGTCCACAGTGAGGAAGATCAGGAGTGAAACAACTGCAGAGCTGAGCAGTGGTGCCCCGCAGCTGGGCAGGCACCGAAGAACTTCAGCCCTGAGTCTTTCTAGGTCGTTTCTTCAGACCAATGTTCCAAACAGGGAGAGGCTCCCGGGAGGAACTGGGTCTCCCACCCTTCTGGCTGCTGCAACCGGGACACCCTGAATCCACAGCAGGGACACGATGCCAGGGGATGGCTGCTCCCAGTGCCCTCACCCTGGCTCCCTGGTGTCATGGAGGGTCCTCAGCCCCAGAGCTGACTCAGAAGGTTGCAGTTGATAGTCAGGGATGGTTTTGTGAGGTTCTGGAATTAGTTTCTTGCAGGGTGAATCTGCCAATGACTTTGCGGGTGAAAGATTGTACTGATGTCACCGGGAGCCCAGGGCTCAGCTCGGTCTGTGCTGACAAGCTGGATGCTAAAAATAATTTGCCTTCCCCCACTGGCACCCACATCTGGGAAAGGATGAGGAAAGAGGGGTGGGGAGCAGGAATGCCTATCTGCCCCTGGGAGCAGGGGCTCTACTGCGTTGTCATCACTGGCGAGTTCAAATTTGCTCACAGAATCCTCCCCATCCCGTGCCCCGGGGGTGTGTGAGCATTACCGGCGCCCTTCCCGGGCTGCCCGCCGGGCTCTGCGCCCGCTGCCGGGATTTCACACGCCGCTTTACTTCCAGGTCAGCGCTCTGCCGCGCTCACAGCTCCCGGCGCTCTCACGAGCAGGGTGGCACCGTCACCCCTCCTTGTCACAGCAGGGGCTGTCTGGCTGCTGCCCACTGGCTGGAGGGCTGGCAGGGCCACGTGGGCAGCGTGGAATGCTCAGGGTGCCTCAGCCACCCGTTCCCATCGTGCTGCCAGGACATCACCCCTCTCTCTGGGGCAGTTCTCTCCACGATGCTCCAGCCCAGGAGCGGGCGTGGGCACAGGGCACCGTGGGATGGGCAGGGTGGCAGCTCGTGTGCCACCACCTGCCACCGCCGACACAAATGCCCCAAGACACATGGTTAGTGGCAGAAATCCCTTTTATATCCCTGAATTGCATTACAAGTAATACTGCGGGTGGCCGGATCTCAGTAGACTTGTCATACTGGGGCTGGCGTGTACAAAACCTGGCAGAAAAAATCTATCATGCACGGAAAATTATTGCTGTAGTATCTGCTATTTACAGGAGAGAGGGGCAGCAGCGCAGTGCTCCAAGCCTGCCGGCCTCAGGACACCGTGCTCCGCGGAACGGTGCCGGCATCGTGGGGGAAACCCGGTGGGGTGCCTGCGTGGCCAGGGCGATGCTCATCCCCTCTGTGGGGTGCGGATGTGTGGTCACCGTGCCATGGCAGCGAGGACCATGACAGGGACATCCCCACTCAACCCGTGACCAACACAGGCACCGAGGCAGCGGGAGGAAGACGGTGCAGGGAGGAAGACGGCGCAGGAAGACGGTGTGGGGGTGCGCGAGTGCGGCCCCGCGGGGTGCCGGGCTGAGTCCCGAAGTGTTGGGGACCGGCACAGGGTGATGGGGCTGTGGCGACTCGCGGCCCGAGGTAGGAAGCGGAGGCGTGGGTCGGGCCCCGCTCCGGCATGCCGAGCGCGGCGCTTGCTCCGGGGCCGGTGCGGGGGCGCTCCGCCGGGAGGTTGCATAGAGTGGCTGGTTTGTCCCCACTGGGCTGGCGCGGGGCACGGAGCAAAGCAGGAGCCCGTGGAAGCAAGGAAGACAAATGAGAAGGGCTTTGCCTTTGTGGGAGGCTTGCAGGACATGCAGCCTGGGCTGCCGGGCCAGCTCGTGCCCTCCTGCCTCCGTGCCCGCCACACAGTCCGCTCTCGGGGTCCTGTCCCCGTCCGTGTCACCGTGGCTGTGTCCTGGGCACGGCAGTTCTGCTGCAGCTCTGCCACCTCCTGCGAGCCAGCGCTGGCATGGCCCGGCCAGTCTTGACAAATAAATAGTGAAAAGCATAAGTTATAAATAATATAAATAAGAACATTTAAATAGACTCACCCAAACTTTACAGCTACTCTGACCCCCTCCTCCTGAGTGCAGGTGGGGGGCAATGGCGAGGGAGCCGGGAGCCGGCTGGAGAAGGGGCTGGGGATACATGGGGGGTGGTTGGGGGTTTGGGTACTACCTGCCCCAGGGCTGGGTCTCCAGCCCAGCTGCCAGCCCAGCCCTTTGCATGGTGAGGGGGGCTGCACCTGCCTGGGGGGGCTATTCCCCATCACCGTGGCAGGGGCCAGTTTTGCCTGGCCAAGCTGGGAGCCAACGGAGGTCGTGTCCTGTGGATCTCTGCTGGAAGCCCCTGGCTTCTCCCTTGGCTCTTCCCCTGACTCCAGGGCTGCAGATCTGCAGTGCCAGGGTGAACGCTGCGCCATGGGGCAGAGGGCAGCCGGGTGCCCTGTGTGGTGGGCTGCAGGGACCCGAGGCTCCAAGGGTGACTGGCAGCCCTGCCCTCTGTCAGCCTCAGTGGCCATCAGTCCTGCCGAGCTGGCAGGAACACCAGCCCATGGTCTCATCAAGATTAGGGTCAAGGGGAGGGTTTGCTCCTAGTGGGGAGCAGAAAAGTGTCTTTTCTCCCCCGGGATCCCCCGGGAAGAGAAGCAGCAGCTCTAAATAAATAATAGTAATAAATTAAATAAATAGAGGTGAAAGTCACAAGCTAGGGGAGGAAAGTCTCTCCTGGGTCAGGAAGAGGTCCCCATGTGAGTCCCCCGCAGAGAGACCTGCCTGGCTGCGGGGGGGCTCTGGGACCCAGGGGAAAGGAGCTGGGTCCCACTATGGGGGACCCCCTTCCCAGGGAGCAGATGGGGAGTGAGTCTGTGGGGATGTGTCCTCCAGTCTGAGCACAGCAACAAACCAGCTGGCTGCAGCTGCAGGAGTGCTGGCACAGGGACTGGGACCGGGATGGGATGGGGATGGGGATGGGGATAGGATGGGAAGTATAGGGGAATAGGGATGGGCATGGGCTGAGATGGGGATGGGGATTGGGTAGAAGGATGAAATTGGGAATGGGGATGTGCCACAGGGCCTGGGGGGCTAGTTCCCTATTGCACAGCTGTGTTCGGAGCCCTTGAAGCAGGCGGACTCGTAGTGCTTGTTGAGGTACGACTTGAGGGCGAAGGTCTTCTCGCACTGCTTGCACTTGTAGTGCTTGAAGGCGGAGTGGGTCTGCATGTGGGCGCGCAGGTTGGAGCGGTCGGCGAAGGCTTTCCCGCAGTGGGAGCAGCCGAACGGCTTCTCCCCGGTGTGGGACCGCATGTGGCCCTGCAGCAGCCAGGGCCGGCTGAAGGCTTTGCCGCACACGTCGCACTTGTGCTTGAGGTTGTGGGTGAGGACGTGCATGGCCAGGGCGGGCATGGAGACGTACGCCTTCCCGCAGGTGGGGCATTTCCTGGCCATCTTGCTGTCCAGGCTGCGGTGGGTCTGCTTGTGCCGGCTGAGGTTGGAGGAGGTGGCGTAGGTCTTGCCGCACTCGGGGCAGGAGTGGCGGTGGCCGCCACGGCGCTGGCTCTCGCTGCGCCGGCGCGACCGCCCGTCCGTGATGAAGAAGGCATCCATGGAATAGCTGTCTGTCACTGCGGCCTCCCCGTTGAAGTAGCGGGCGGAAAAGCTGGACTGGGGACTCTCGGGATCGCTGTACTCCTCGTGGCCGGGTGCGTAGGCTGGGTCTGGTGGCGGTGGTGGCAGGCCTTGCTTCTTGTCAGTGTCGTAGCCGGCTGGCGCCAGGCAGTGCTGGAGGTACCCTGTGGGGACAACACAGTGGGGTCATTGTCCCTCCAGAGCAGCCTCACCAGGGACAGGAAAAAGCCACAAGCTAAAATTTCCCATAGAAGGTGCAGAACCAGGGTTGTCCCCCCCACAAACTGGTTCCTGTCCTGGCTGAGCCACTGAGCACCAGAGCTGCATTGTCCTGCCCTGGCTCCTGTCTGCATCTGTCAGCAGGATGGGTCCCATCCCGCAGGGCTGCCTGAGATGGGAACTGGGGATGGAGCTGCGGAACGTCCAGCTGCGCCTGCCCCGGCTGCGGGCAGCCCCCAGGGGCTATTAGCTGCCAGACAGCTGTCGGTGCCGGGAGCTCATTGTTCACCGGGGCCATGCCGGTAATGAGCTACGCTCCGTGGGCAGCCGGGATGAGGGGGATGAGGCTGCTCCAGGTTCCCCTTCCTCAGCAAAGGGGCTGGGAAAGCCCCCCACCTTGCTGTCCCTACAGGGCCTATCCCCTGGAGATGGGACAGCACCAGGAGGGCAGCAGCACCGGGTCCCTGGCCTCCTGCCAAACTGAGTGACCCACAGCCCCTCAGATGTGGAGCCAGGCTCGGGTACCACTCCACTGGTGTCACACACGTGTGACATTGGTGCAAGTCTGCTCATGACACTGCTCCATATGTGGGTCTCCCAGCCTGTGTCAGAGTGGGCGCTGCGTTGGCGTCCCTGTCCCTCTGTGCTGTCACACAAAGGTCGCAGCAGTGCAGCCCCCTTCCCCCAGACCAGCAATCCTGGTGAGGTATTGGCACCCCAAGACCCTCAGATTGGTCCCAGCAATCCCCTGTCTTGTGCATACCGGTCGTTGCAAGCTGCTTCAGTGGCCTCACCCCACTGACAGTGACAGAGGGGCTATCGGGGGCCTGGGGTCAGTGCACAGCTGAGCTGACCCATGCACACCATGGGGCAGCAGGGACATCCCACCACAGCTGCAGCTGAGCATCCCCTAAATCCACACAGCCTCTGGCAGCACCCACGGGACCCCTTGGCAAGCAACTGCTGCCGTTTGTCCCGTGGAGGCCAGCGGTGCCTACTGTGGGGAGGGGGTGTGGGGCAGGGGCAGAGCCCCCCCGTCCCCCGCGCCGTGCTGACAGCGCGGGCTGTGCAGAAAGCGCTCTGCTCAGCAATTTCTCACGCTGCCTCCGAGCATGCAGCAAGGTTATTTCCAGGAGAGCAGCGTCGGCAGCTTCTGCCCAGCTGCAGCACATCCCTCCCCCACCGGCTCCTGGTTGATAGGGGGGAGCAGGGGACCCCCAGACCAGACAGGCTTCGCACCCCAGCCCCTGGCAGGAAAAGCCCACCCAGGGCTGGGGAGCACCAGAAAAGGGGGGACAAGTGCCGCAGCGGCTGGGCAATGTTAGCTTGCGTGTGGATCAGGCCCATTCCCGCATCCAGCTCCGTTTCCCAATCCACGAGCAGCCAGAACACCCCAGCCTATGCAACAGACCCCCGACCCACGGCCAGCCCCTCTTTCTGGGCAGGTGCCTGGGCTGCCCCGTTGTGGGGCTGTGCCAAGCCCGGGGAACTCCGAGCCCACCCCAGTGCTCCCCCGCAGGACGGCATTCCAAGGACCTCGGTCACCCCAAGTCCAGCCTTTTGCATCTCTCCCGCTGCTGGGGTACCCCCTAGTCTCCCCCCCGCTCCCCGTGCCCCGGACGGCGCCGGCCCCCCCCGCGCTCCCACGGGGGCTCGGGGCACCGCTGCGAACAATGAAACCCTCCGGCACGGCGAGGCTGCCGCCCCCCGCCGCCCCCCGCCGCCCCCGCAGACCGGTCGCTTCTTACCCCCCCAACTTGTCGTGGGAAGGAGCCCACCTCGGTGTCCCACGGGCGGGGGGGTCTCGGGGCTGCCCACGGGGCTGACGCTGTCACGCAGGGGATGTTTCCCCAAGGACCAACTTCGGCAGCGGCCGGTGGCCCCCGATCCGCGGACAAGACGACGACGAGGGATGACACACCCCATCCCGCACCCCTCGCCCGCCGCGGGACACAGCGCGGGGACCCCCTCCCCGTCCTGCCCTGCGTCCCCCCGTGTCTCCTTCCCGGTGCCCCGCCGGGCGCACAGACAATAGAGGCGGGGGGGCCCCTCCGGACCCCCGGCCCCGCACTCACCATCGCCGGCGGCGGGGCCGGGCAGCGTGTAGGGGGGCTCCAGGGGGGCGTAGGGGGGCGCAGGAGCTCCGGCGGCCGGGAACGCCTCCGCTTTCAGCTTCTTCACCAGGAAGGAGCGGGGCATGGCGGGGCCGGGCAGCGCTGGACACCTCCGGTACCGGCACCGCCACCGGCCCCGGGCCCCGCACCGGCCCCGGCCCCCCCCCGCCCCGGCCCCGGCGCTCGGCCCCGGCGGTGCGCACGGAGAGGCGCGGGGAGGCGAGTGCGAGGGGCGGGGAGGCGGCAGGGGGGGGGGAGGGGGCCGCTTCGCCCGGCCGCGCCCGGAGCCCCCCCAGAGCCCCCCGAGCCGCCGGTAGCGCGGGGTGCCCCGGGCATCACGACACTGTGGGGTCCCTGGTCCCTCCCCCTGGTTCCTCCCCCCACCCCGGCCACGGACAATGGGGACACAGGGGGACGGGGGGAGACGGGAGGGGGGGGCACATGCCTCTGCCTCCCACCGCCTTTGTCTCCCTGCCGCCAGTCCCCGGGGCCCGGGAAGAACGGGTCTGCCGGGCGGGAGTCCTCATCCCCATCCCTGTCCCCATCCATGTCCCCTGCCCCATTCCTGTCCCCTGTCCCTTGTCTTGTCTTCATCCCTGTCCCTGTTCCTGCTTCTTGTTCCTTTCTCCTTTCCTTGTCCTTGCTCCCTGTTCCTATCCCTGTTCCCGGTTCTCATTCCCATCCATCTTCCCTGTTCTCATCTCTGTCCACAGACCCTTTTGACTGACCCCCTTCTCTTTCCCTTCTCCCTTCCCCTGTACCTTTTTCTCTGTCCTCAACCCTTTCCCCTCTTCCCTGCTCTCATCTCTGTCCCACCTCTGTCTTGTCCCCATCCCTTCCCACTGTTCCCATCCCTCTTTTCCCACATTCTCTCCCTTCCCATGTCCCTGTCCCACTCCCAGTCCTCAGGAAGCACCGTGACCTTCGGAGCCACAACAATAGCCAGGCTCGTGGCAGTTCATTGTTCCCGGCTGGAGCCCCCACTCTTACTCCCCCTTCGTCTCACTGGAGCCCCCACTCCCACTCCCCCCTCCTCTCTGCGCTCCGCTGCAGGCAGCTGGTGCTCCAGGGCTGCCTTTCCCTGCAGTTGTGCCATCTGAAGGCCGGAGTTGTGCTATCTGAGAGCTAGTGGGTGACACAGGGACCTGACTGGCAGCTGGCCGTGCTCTCCCTGAGCCTTGTGCAATGCCCAGAGTGTTGCAGCACTTAATAAGGACGGTGCCTCTGCTGTCACCACAGGCAGAGTGCTGGCACAGGGCAGCCCTGGGCACACTAACCCCTTTGGCCAGGGATGTGGCACTGGGTCTGGGGACCAAAAGCAGCATCCCCACAGGCAGCACCTGCCTGCTCACAGCCATGTCTGCTCCTTCAGCTGTGCCCCAGGGCCACATCTGGGGCCAGCCCTGCATCGCAGTGCCCCTGCTCACTGCTTTGTGTGGTATTCCACAGCCCAGGGCATCCCACAGCATGCCACAGGATCCTACAGCCCAGGGCATCTCACAGCCCACATCATTCCACAGCCTAGAGCATCCCACAGACCACAGCATCCCACAGCATCTGATATCCCACAGCATCCCACAGCATCACACAGCATTCCACAGCTAAGTGCATCCCACAGCTCACAGCATCCCCCATCCCAGAGCATCCCATATCCACAGCACTCCACATCCTAGAGGATCCCAGGGCTGCTCCCCATGTGGGCTGGGGTCTCTCCACTTGCTCCCGCAGGCCTTGGCCAGGGATTGCCGGCAGCACCACGAGTCCCATCTGTCCCTGCAGCGCTGCCCTGACGTCAAGGCTCTGCCAAGTTCAAGGTCACCTCTCCCACAGGGCTGCGGCCCCGAGGGGACGTCGCCTGCCGGGCTGCTCGCGGCATCCCACACACACACACTGGGCTCCCGGCCTCCGCTCCCTGATTTATTTATCCGTGCGTGTGCCTGTTCTCTCCTGGAAGGCACGCTTGCAGAACGGGCGATTACTTACGCCCTAGTTGGGCCTGCCTGCCCGCTGCCCGCCCGCTGCCCGCTGCCTGCCCGCCCGCTGCCTGCTGCCTGCCTGCCCGCTGCCCTGGGATTTTGTCTCTCTCCAGGCTGCGGTGTAATAAGGGAGGTAATTAAGTGTAAAAGGCAGGAGGAGGGAGGGCTGGGAGGGGGGAGCAGCCCCGGCTCCTTTCGGAGGCAGGGGACTGCGATAATGTATGGTAATAACCGCAGCCAGCCCTGCCGAGCTGATAGCGCTGACGGCAGCGCCTGGGCCCCCCCAAACCTGCCCCCGCCACTGTGGGGAGGGGGAGCAGCGCCAGAAGAAAGGCTCAGCCTTCCTCCACCGGGTTTGTGCCTTCCTGAGCAGCTGTATGGAAATAATTCCCATAGGAGGCAATTGTTTCCCCGACAAGAAGGAGGGGGCTGGGGGGGGTACTGTGGGTGAGGGGTTTTGGGGGCTCCCAAGGGCAGGATCATCCTCTTGGGGGGCAGGAGGAGAGAGGTCAGGTCCCTACTCCAGCTCCCAGTCTACCCACAAGGGACATATCCTGCTACTGGAATGAGACAAGCTGCCCTGCGGTGCCCCCACATCTCCCACTGGTCTTCAGCTCCCCCATCCTCCATGGATCCTGGACACGGGCTCTGGGGTCAGCCAGAATCTGCCAGAGGATGCCCACTAGTGCCAGGAGGAAGAGCCCCCAGTCCTGCCCTCTCTGCTGCCTCAGCTGCAGGACCCCCACCACTGCCAGCCTGGGGGGCTGCTGGCCATTAGGTATTCCAATCTCGTTCTTCCCAGAGGCGTCCGGGTCGCAGCCGGAGCCCCGAAGTGGCTCCAATCCGTGGTCTGGTGCTGCCGCCGGCGCAGGGAGCAGATGCCAGACAAAGGGCCGGGGACAAAGGCCCGGCTGCCTCGTGCCCCAGGGAAGGGGCGCAGGCGCGTGCAGGGCACGGGTGCTGTCCCATCCCGGGGCTGCACTGCCCTGACCTCCCGTGCCTGCCATGTCCCAGTGCACACCCGGCCCCTGCCCTGCTGGCATGGCTGGGGCACAGCTAGGTACCAGGTACCAGGGCCAGCCCGGGCACTGGTGCTGTGCCACCCCTGCCATGGGCACTCTGCCTGCACTGCTCTGGTGCGAGGCTCTGCTGCAGCCCCTCTCCAGCTCTGCCCATCTCAAGGTGCAGCGGGGCTGAAATGGGGTGCAGGGGGGCACAGGGCTGTGGGGAAGAAGCAGAAAGCATGGATGGGACCACAGCAGAGGGTGGCAAATATCACACATGTCGCTCCAGTCCCACTGTGCCTCAGTTTCCCCAGCTGCTACTGGGGGCCTTGTGAATGTTCTGTGTTCCCCCACCATGCCCCTCCCCATGGCCGCCTTTGTCCCCACTCCCCCCAGCTGGCTGCAAACCCCCTGTCTGGGGGCAGCTGCCACAGCGCAAGGGCCAGGAACGCCACCGGTGCAGCTGGGGCTGTGCCCACCCACAGAGCCCAGGGGGGCTTTAGGGCACGATGCCAGACAGTGCCAGACCCCCCAGGGGAAAGGACTGGGCAAGGCCCCAGTTGAGAGGTACCCAGGTGGGGGGCACTGGCACACACAGCCCCCTCAACATGGGGTGTGCAGGCAGCAGGGAGGCAGAGGGCTGAATAAAATAAAACACCTTCTATTGCTTTCACAGGATGGGAACACCCCGTGCCCAGGCTGGAGACAAAGCCCTGGAGATGCTGCGCCCTGGCAGAGCCCATCAGGGAGCTGTGTCTGCAGCCGTCCTGGTCCCAGCGCTGCTTCCCAGCCAGCCAGCCTTGCTGATTTTGGGAGTTCGTGCAGGCAAGAGCAGCGGTCTTGGGGTGTCCACCCCACTCATGCTGGGCACTGCGGGCTGCAGTAGTCAGCAGATTTGAAAAGGCCATAGACGTTGACAAGGGGGAACATGAGCAGTGCCCCGAGGAGGGAGCCCAGCTGCTCCAGCACCCCGTAGCACACCAGCGCTCTGTGGCTGCGGCTCCGCAGGATCACCCCGGCCATCACCTTCATGTAGGAGAGCGTCCCGGTGAACAGCACCCAGGAGAGGACCTGGTGGCACAGGTGGAAAAGTGGTCAGGGCCAGGGGTTCCCTACTGTGGGGACATCGTGGTGAGGTCAGGACCAGGTGTGGTGTCAAAGACCTCCCTGAGTGAGAGGGACACCGTGACTTACGATGATGACATCGCCCCACTGGGACTGCTGCAGGAGCGGGCAGGGGCTCATCACTGCAATGGCCATGTTGTAGGCACCAAAGCCTGTCCCTGCTATAGTGAGGATGACCATCAGGGCCAGGGACCTGCAAGGGACATGTGAGTGTCACTGGAGAACACCACCTTTCCCTGGTGAGCAGCACAGACACGCAGCATGTTCTGGCTCCTTCCTGGCTCCATCCTTCTTTCCTGGGGTGTCTGTGCTGCCAGGGCATGGACACCCCACAGGCCCTCTCCCACCCAGTGCCTACACCCCCAACCCTTGCAAAGTAGGGGCCACTTTTGGGGCAGAAGCCCCTGGTGTGCACCCTGCTGCAACTCCCAGGGCCCGGCAACTCACCTGCTGGGCAGGAACATGGCCACGATGCAGGCCAGGGGGTTGGCCATGGAGCTGAGCGTGGCTGCCAGGTGGTAGGTGGTGTGTCCGTAGGGCAGGCAGGAGTAGGACTGCACGGATGGCAGGACCCCGTTTGTCAGGGCGCTCACCCAGGCGATGAGGAGGTAGATGAGGGTGAGCTGGGTTAGGGAGTAGGAGACTTTCTGTGGCAGGATGTCCCCAGGTCCCTTGGGATCCTTTGGGCATGAGCAGCCTCTGCTCAGGTGCAAGTCGGCTCCCTCATCATGGATCTGGTCAAATGAGTTCAGCACAATGCTGCTGGGAAAGAGGTGCTGCTGAGAGAGCTCCCACACCTTGGGCTGCCGGGTGAGGAAGAAGAAGGCCAGCAAGCAGGTCAGCATCATTGCAGTCATCAGCAGGAAAAAGACGAGGGTGGAGAAGTTGGGTGGGAGGTAGCTGGTCTCCACATGGAAGGTGGTGCTCTCCACGGTCTCGTTGCCGGTGGTGATGTTGACCTTGTAGCTGACATTGGTGCAGCTGGAGATACCAGAGCCCTGGCCCAGGGCAATGAGAGAAGGGATCAGCCCACTTAGCCCTTCACCTATGAAGAAGGTGTTCGTGTACTGGGGCTGCAGCTGCATCATGAAAGGCAGAAAGGTGACAGAGGAGGTGCAGTCCACCAGGGCCAGGAAGAAGGTCAGGATTAGGAAGGGGATGCTGTGGGATGTCCCGGCAATGAGGGACGTGTGGTTCCAGAGGAAAGCCAGGAGCAAGCAGGCCATGACACCCACGGACACGATCACATAGATAACAGCCACCTCCTTCATCAAGCCAGGCCGAAAGCGATTCATGAGGGTGACGAAGAGTGGTCCCACGTTGGCCATCTGGATGATGATGGTGATGTAGGAGGGGAGGTACCACTGCTCCGGCAGCACCGTCACCAGCAGGGGCACCTCCACCCACAGCCCATTGATGGCCACCCAGGAGCCCATGCCGAAGGCACAGGCCAGAAAGTGGGTGAGCAGTGCCATGGCTCAGGGCTGGGTGCCTGGGCCTGTGAGTGACGCTGCTGTGCTGTGGGGAGAGACTTTGATGAGTGGTGAGGTGAGATCTGACCCTTCCAGATCCTGACCCTGTCCTCCCATGACCACCCCCTGTGCTGGCAGAACAGCTTCCTTCTACGTGCCGTGAGGGTGTGGGACGCACAGCCCAGCCCAGCCCCACTTTGCCCTCTGCAGGCCCCATGGACCCCTCTGCCCCCTTCAAGTGATGACACGGTGCTCTCCTGCCCTGGGTGTGGATCCTGATGAGCTTCACCTGGTCTCATCCCAGAGCGCTGGGGCTTGGCAGCGGCAGGTGCGATACCCAGGAGGGCATTGAACCTGTGCCAGCTCACGTAGCAGCTCCGTGCAGCCTGGAAGGGCTCGGCATGGCCGGGTGCAGGGGGAAGGGGGCTCTCACCTGGGAGCTGAGCGTCCTGGGCAGCTGCTCTGCTGGGAATGGACGCCTCGTACCTCCCCCTGCATCTGCAGGGCAGGGCCACGCAGCGCCCGTCCCCTTCCAGTCGGGACCCGCGCGATTCCGACACGCTCCGGTGCCGCGGGCGACAGGCCCCGGCAGCCCAACCTGCAGCCCAGCCTCTGCTCGTACCAGCCAGCTGAGTCAGCTGGGCTCCGAACACATCCCTTACCCACTCCCATCCCGCTGCTGGCAGGAACTCTCAGGTCCCATGTCCCTACGCTCCGTGCCACCCCCGGTCCCGCAGAGCCGTCTCCAGCCCTCCCCGGGGCGCTGAGGCCGCCAGAGGAAACTCACGTCTCACGGGGCTGAGCCCGGCGGGCGCAACGACCCAGCCATGGCCCCGGCGCCGCGGGGGGGCAGCGGGGCTGCAGCAGCAGCCAGGAAGGAAACGGGCTCCGGTCGGACCGGTGCCTCGGCAATCTCCCAAGGGTAACTCACTGCGCTTTGGGAAACCGGCAGCACCACGCGGGCGGGAGCCAGTCCTGGCTGCCGGAGCGGTGACGTGAGGCGGGCGCGTCACCACCTCCGGATGCGGACCGGTGACAGCCTGGCCCTGCTCTGCTCTTCGTCTTGGCCCCGGCTGGCAGAGTCCCGAGCTCAGGGGGGTTATAATTCTTGGCGGTGTCCTGGACTTTGTCCTTGTCCCCGCCTGAACTGCGTCCCACCTATCACAGACTCTTCTTGCAGGTGCAAGTGTCACCCGATGACGGTTCCTGTCCCCATCGGGATCTCTGCGGGGTCACGGGTTGGCATGGGGCGCTGGGGAACCTCCGAATGTGGCAGTTGTCCCACCTCGGGACAGTGCTGGGACCAAGCCGCGAGCCAGCGGATGAGCCATTTGCACCGGTCGGGAGGTGACACGGGTGAGGAGAGAGACCCCTGGTCACCCCCAGCAGCAAGCCCCCCTCCCAGCCCAGGACCCACCGCCCCAGGATGCCTCATCCCCCAGGCGGCTCTTCCCCCAGCACCCACCGGGTGTCGCTGGGAGAGCGGGCTGCAGCCCTGCAAAACCTGGGGCTGCCTTCTCCCGTCTGCTTCCCCGCCTGCTTCCCTGCCCTACCTGTCTGCAGTGCCTGTACCTGTCCCTGTCCCTCCGGGGGACTGCAGTTTGCTCCTCCACCCTGCCCTGCGCCTGTGGGAGCACCCATGGCAGCCAGGACCGTTGGGTGTAGTGGGGACAAGTCTTGTCTCCGGGGCTGCAGAGACGCTGGGTGACAGTGGAGGGGGATGGTCACAGTTTGAGGTGGTACTGCTGTGATTTAATTCCAGCAGGCTGCTCAGCCCACCTCAACTGCTCACTCACACACACACACACACACCCGGTGGGATGGGGTACAAAATGGGGAAAGATAAAATGGTAAAACGGACTTAACTGACGGATCAGCTTAATAGGAAAAGCAAGGCTGTCCTATAGTCCGGGGTATCCCTGGGGGGGAGAGGGGGAGTGCAGAGCTGTTCCATCCACATCCCCTCCCAATTTCTATGCACCCCCAGCGCTCTCACTCGCTGGTGGGGCAGCAGGAGGAGCAGAAAAGTCCTTGGGGCTCTGTGAGCATGGCTCAGCCAAGATCAGACACTCCTGGGTTATCAGCACTGCTTTCAGCACAACTCCAAAACAGTCCCCCCCCGGCTCCTATGGCAAAAAGCCTCTATCCCAGTCAAACCAGTACAGAACCCCAAGGGACCTGGAAGGTGGGGAACAGGTGCAAGGTGCTGGGGAAACCAGGCACAGGGAGCTTGGGGTGGGTGTGGGGCAGCTGAGGTCATGGTGTGTCCATGGGTATGGGGACAGGGAGGGGACAGCAATTGTCCTGTGTTTAATTTGCCGGCACAAAGAGCCGGCTCAGCCGGCAGTGAGACCCTTCCCAGGGGCTAATGGCTCCGGGGCAGAGGCAGTTCGATGGGGGGCTGGGTGTGGGACCCTCGTGTTGCCCCTTCACGCTACTCACCCAAATCCACCCGACGCGTGCTGCCTGCCCTGCCCGTGCCTCCTCCGCCCCCTGCCCGCCCCGCAGCTGAACTCCCGGCCCCTCTCCCCTCCACACCCCCGGCAGATGCGAGCGAAGGCCCCGGAGCAGATGGCAACATTTGGTAGCCGAGTGGTCCCTGCCTGCGGGACTTTGCTGGGCTGTGATGGCCATCCCTCCAGGAAGCCCCCTCCTCACCCAGCCAGGGCTGGGGAGCCCATCCCAACCGCAAGCCAGCACATGCCAGGGGGTGCAGCAGGGATCCCAGGGTGGGCACACTGCCCATGCCATGGGGGTGGCAGGGTGGCATGGAAACACTGGCAGCCCAGAAAACCAGGGATCTGTCCTTGAGCTCAGCCCTAGTGAGACCCATCCCATAATATCTTCCATGTGTGAGCAGTGGGGATGGTCTGCCTGGGCAGAGGGTGGCTGCTGCTCCATTGTGGGGGGACAAGGTGACCCCCTCACTCCAGGGACTACTGGCCAGCCTATTTGAGAGGGTATGACCCCCAGACTTGGGGACCTGCTGGCGGGTCTCCGCCTGGACCCTGACAGCTCCAGCCCTAGCCCAATTTGCATTCCATTTCCATGTGAAAGGAGCAGGTCAAGTTGAAAGTGGAAAGGCTGGTGGGGGGCAGCAGGGAAGGGGCCGCTGCCGGAGGTGAGACCCCAACAAAAGGGCCGGATCCCCAGGGCCCAGCGCTTGCCTGGCCATGGGCTGCGGCCACGGCCCCACGGCAGCCGCCATCTGCGGGTCTGTGCCGCCGCCACCACCGGCCAGACAAAGGCCCCGTGCCCAGCATGTCCCCATCTGTCACCTCCCTGGCTCCCGGATCCCTGAGCAGAGACCGAGTGTGAACATCCGGGTGCAGGCAGCATCGTTCCCTCTGCCCACAGGGAATGAATGGGGTGATGCTGGGTGCAGCGGGTGCCTCCCTATTCCCCATGGGCAACATGTCCCCATCTTCCTTCTGGAGCAGCTCTGTGGAGCTCTTGCTGGGGAAACTGAGCCAGGAGCAGGAGGTGGTTTATCCTGGGTTGGGGCACAGCAACAGGCTGCAATAAAACACTGGGAGTCAACACCCAAGAAGAAGGGGTTGGGGAGCTCTCAGCTCTGGGGGTGCCTCTGCGTGGGGGTGCCCACACTGCCCAGCCCCAGCCCTGCGGCTTGGCAGGTGTTGCCAGGCACCCGTAGCTGCCTCCACCCAGCACTTCCAGGGGGGGATTGGCTGCGGAGTGTGTTTTCTTCTCCTTGGCAGCTCAATTTAGCATCCAGGAGGTCCTGGCAGTGGCACGAGGGTGTCTGTAGAAGGTGGGAGCAAAGGCACTGCCAGCACCTCGTTGTCCCTTTGCTCACAAACACCATCCCTGTGTTCCTGGGGCAGCGGTGGGGATGCTGCAGCGGGTGCTGGGGGAGCATTCCTGCAGGAGGCTGTCCTCCTGGGGCATGTCCCGAGCTGCTCCCGGGGAGGGCGAGGCTTGGGGCGCTGCCTGGATCCAACGCCCCGCTCCAACGGGCCAGACGTGCCCGAGCAGCTCCTGCAGCCTCCTGCCTGCACCCGCACAGCCTCGGCACCTGTGGGGGGACGCAGCCTGCGGGCTCTGCCCTCGCCTACCAACTGGGATTTTCTAGCTGAGCCCGTTGTGCGAATCTGGGCTCAGGGCAGCCCTCTGGCTCCCAGACTGTGTGCTTCCCTTGGCCTTTCTCCCTTCACCAGCTCCTTGTCTTGCTCCAGGAGCGTTTGAACAATGCAGGGCTGTAACTGAGCTCCGCAACATGAGCCAAATGCTCATTCCCTTTGTGCAGAGCTGAACAGAGATGCCTGTACCTGGGCCAACCTGCCTGGGCTGGGTTCAGACCAGCAGGTCCAAGTGGCTGCAGGCTTGGTGATCCTGTCTGTCACCTCTCTTCCTGCTATCCAGTTTATTTTCCTATGTTTTGGAGTTTATTGCTGCTGGGTGATTGGAGAAACAAGATGAGATTTCCAAATGAGAGCAGGCCCTGCCAACTGATCATACCAGTGACATGAGGGAACTGGGGTGCCCACAGCAAGGCTGGGAATTTCCCCTGTGTCCCTGAAGCCCTAAACCAGCACCAGCACCCTTTGCCCACAGCGAGCAGCGACATCCAGAAGGATTTTGGATTTGTCACTGTGAGCACCTCGGGCCGTGTGTGCATCCAGGCTGCCAGGCCGGCACCGCGGGCTGAACCGGCAGCTGGGACGTCACCGGGCAGCGGCACGCTGCATGACGCAGCTGGCATGGAGGAATGCCCTGTGGTTTCCATCCCATGTGAGTGCTGATTTGCCTCGGAGGGCGTCCTCACCCGGCGCTGACTCAGCGGCAGCCGCCGCATGCAGAACCGCTCCAGCACCCTCCAGCCGCCATCACGCGGGGACACCGGGAGGACGTGGCTGGGGAGCAGGAGGGTGGGGACAGCAGGACACCGTCGGGACACCCTCGGAAAGAGAGCAGGGAGAAGAAGGGTGGCAGCTGATCCGTGCCGAGGAGGCCAATCCAGGTGGGTGGCAGAGGTGGTGCTGGTCCCGTGCTGGTTCAGTGCCAGCAGAGTGGGACGGGGTGAGCCGGTGAAGGGGTCACAACCGTGTACCTCTGGAGCAGCTCCTCCAGGCTGGAGGTGACCCGGTGGGCCATGTGAACCTGGCTGGACTGCCCACCCCAGGAGGAAGAGGAGCTGGGACCACACTGGACAATGCCCAGAGATCAGATCCCTGAACTCCAGCTGGGTTCGGGGCATGGGATTATGCTGCCGAGTTTTTGGGGCTGTTCGGAGGGTGGCTCCGCTCGGCTCCGCTTGGCTCGGCGCAGCCCAGCTCGGTGTGGCCGTGCCAGCGCAGTGGCTCAGCTCTGCAGGAATGTGGAGCAGCAGGTTGTGCCCGGCCGGGCTGTCCGTGCTGGGGAGGGGTCCCCACACCGGCCACTGGTGGCTGTGCTGGGGCTGCCGTGTCCTTGTCCCTGCACCTCGCAGCTATCTCTTCTGTGGCTTGGCTGTCTGGTACGAGGCTGAACTCCAGTGCCTGACATGGGGACATTTTCCATCTTTGCCTTGCCTGGGGGACACTTTTGCACCCCCGTGCTGAACCGGGAGCCCTCCCTGTGCTGGGCACAGGTACAAGGGCAGTGAAGCTGGCCATTGGCACAGGGGCTGGGCAGCACTGGACCCGAGGGGTTGGGCAGAGGGTGCAGAAAGCTGCCCCGGGGAGGAGGCAGGAGGATCTATGCCGGTGCTGGGACCGTTCCCAGCTGTCAGCACGCCTGGCCGCCCCCCTGCAGACATTTTTCAGGTCAGGAGACAGCATGCCCCCCCAGGCAGGGGACGGGAACGGGGTAGAGGGGCAGCCAGCCTCCCCCATGGCCACTCGTCTGTCACAGCGTGTCGCGGGGATGCACCGTGTGCTGTGCAGGGATCCTGCTGGGGTCCAGATTCTGGGGAATCTGGCACCCGTGGGCTGCTAGGGGGTGCGGACATGGCTCAGCCACGGTTCGGCGGGGCTGTGGGTGCCAGGGCTGGCTCCTGCCGCTGGGACAGGCGCTGGGCTGCTCCCAGGAAGTTTGTGCACGCAGGTGAGCGGGTGACGGTGGCAGCTGCCGGCTCGGGGCTGCCACGGGAGCAAGTGAGGCCACAGCACACCGGCTCCGCCCTGCCCACCACTGCACCTGGTGAGTGCTGGGGCTTGCTGCCACATCCTCGGGCTCATCAGTGCCCCAAATCGGGACCTCAGGAGAATCTCAGAGCAGCTTGGGAAAGGGGCTGGGGGAGGGGGTCTGACCCACATATGCTCCTGTGGGCCCTGCCACTGCTGAGCCCCTCTGGGTGTTGGGGCTACTCTGGGTGTGCCCAGCTCTGCTCAGGGGGCTGCAGAAGGGTGTAGGGCTGGTTTGGGTGCCCTCCCCCCGCTTTTCGCTCTGGGCGGGCTGGTGCGACCGTTGTGGCGGCTGCGCTTGTTGGGGTTGGCAGGGACCCAAGGACACGGGGTGCACAGGGCCTCACGCTGCCCCGAGCTCACCGCGGCCGGGGAAGCACGAGAGGAAACCCCCGAGAACTCCACTTACTTTCCAAGGAGCTCCGGGGTGAGAGCAGGGAGGGAGCCTGGGAGCAGCGCCGGAGCTTGCAAGAGCCGAGGGAACAGCAGAGGGAGTGGAGCACCGAATCCACCAGCCCGGCAGGGCGGTGGGTGATGGAACCCTGGGCATGAGGGATGCACACCTGGGAGCAGGCAATGCACCCCTGGGCATGGGCGATGCAAGGATGCAGATGAGGCACCCTCGGGAGCAATCAGTGCTCCCCTGGGAGTGGGCGATGCACTGGGTGAAGGAAATGCCCCCTGGATGTGGGCAGTGCCCCCCTGAGCACGGACGATGGGCACACGCAATGCACCCCTTGAGGCGGGCGATGCACCCCCGGCACCTGCGGCTTGGGCAGAGCATCAGTGAGGGGTGCTTGGCTCTCTCCGCCCCCACTGTCTCCGCAGGGTGCCCCTCGCCGGGACCGGGGCGCCCTCCCCGGCGGCGCCATTGGCCCCGGTGCGGTTTGAAGCAGGCGTGCGGCGCGGATTGGCCGGGGCGCTTGTCGGGGAGGCTCGGCGGCGGCGGAGGCGTGGTGACCGCCTTCAAATAGGCAGCCCGGAGCCGGGGGCGCAGCGAGCGCCGTACCGCACAGCCCGGGCTGTCTTTGTCTGCCGTGGGGCCGGGGCGCGGGCAGGGGCAGCATCGCCGCCGCTCTCACTCCGGCCCCGCTCTCACTCCGGCCCCTTTTCGCAGCCGACGGCGCCCGAGCCCCTCGCTGCCCGTGGCGGCCGCTCACCCGTGTCCCGGTGCCGGCACGGAGGATGCCCGTCGAGGCGCTGCAAGCCGGTGACACCATGAAGGGGGTGACGGTGACGGCGCCTTTCACCTCGGCCATGCCCGTCCGTATCCTCCGCAAAGGGCCCGCGTATTTCCGCCGGCACGCCGAGCCGGGGGCCGGCAAGCCCAGCGCAGTGGAGAGGCTGGAGGCCGACAAGGCCAAGTACGTGAAGAGCCAGAAGGTCGCCAGCACCAAGCAGGAGCCGGTGAAGCCACTGCTGCTCAAGCAGCCCCTCTTCACCCCCGGGGTGCGCCGGGCTGTGCTCACCCCCAGCCGCAGGGCACCCCCGGGGCCACGCCGCGCCGACGCTGCCAGCCCGAAGACCTCCCTTGACCTGGAGATCCTCAACAACCTCATCAACCTCTGTGACAGCCCCTTCCCCAAGGCGGAGAGCCCGCTGGGCAGGGAGTGCAGGTGGCGGGCGGAAGCGCCAGCGGTGGAGGGGGCTGTGAAGCCACCGGAGAGCCCGGCCGCCACCAAGCCCCCCGGCAGCGTGGCCGTGCGGAGGGTGGACGTCCGTCCCTGTGCAGCTCCGCGGAGCCCAGTGACACCGCTGCCTGCATCCCCCATGCCAGGTGGGCTGCCTGTGACCCCGTCCCGGAGCTCACCCGCCCGCCCGGAGAGCGCCCGCCGGCAGCCGCTGCTGCACCGCTCCAAGTCGGACCTGAGCGATCGGCTCTCGCGGGCCACCGCCGACCTGGAGCGCTTCTTCAACTACTGCGGCCTTGACCCCGAGGAGATGCAGGACATGGGGGCCGAGCGCTTCGCCCGCGCCAGCTCTGACATCGTGTCCCTCAAGTTCCACAGCGTGAGCACGGCCAGCTCGGAGGGCGGCCGCTCGCCACCCAGCGCCGCCACCCCCGAGGGGCGGCCGGCGGAGCGAGTGCCCTACGGCATCTCCATCATCGAGCGCAACGCCCGCGTCATCAAGTGGCTCTACGGGCTGCGCCAGGCCAGGGAGCCCCAGCAGGTCTCCGACGTGTAGCAGTGCCGTGCTGGGCACCTGGGATGGGTCGCTCATAAGTGGGCAATGCTGGATGGGGACAAAGCACTGGCTGTGCCCTGGGAGGAGCAGGGAGCTCTTGGTGGTGACAGGACCCTTGAACTCAGCCCTGCTGTGCCATAGCATCACTGGCCTGATGTGCCAGGGATCCATGGTCAGACCCCTGTGCCAGCACTGGAGAACCAGGGCCCTGCGAGCTCATGGGAAGGCAGAGGACACGTGTCCCTGGGTGTGGGGCTGGTCCTCAACACCCACAGGGCCTCATGTGTGGCTGCCCTGCCTGTACTGCTGGCAGCTCCTGCCTGTCCTGCTCCTCACCAGCACCCTGGGTGGGGTGCAAGGGGCTGGGTCCCCCTGCATGGAGCAGGGACACTGCACTGGTGAAACAGCTGTCCCCTTGCAGCCTCCACGGAAGGGGTCCCACTGCCTGGGGTGGTGGCCACATCCTGGTGGTCCCATCTTATTGCTGAAGAAAAGCCTGGTGCTTTGAGGGGTGAGGGAGAAACCTGACCCCCTGCTTCAAGCTGCCCAGGGCTGTGTGGCTGTGTGTCTGTGTGAGTGTCTGTGGGTGCCTGTGTTCCCCTTCCTGACTGCCAGTGGGCAAGAAGTCCCCACCATGCTGGGCCTGGTATTTATGAAGACAACAGTTCCTCTTTTCTACTCTTTTCCTTATGTTTGATCTGTAAATAATAACAGTAATTTTAATGCAGCCAGTTTTATTAAATGCCTGTGTTTTGGAGGCTGTGTGTTGTCTCTTGGGGTGGTGGAATTTGGGATGGGACAGGGACTCTTGGGGTGCCAGTAGCTCTGCAGGGCTGTGGGTGCTGAGTGGACGGGTGCTGGAAGGGAATCACGGGTTCCGTGCTGCAGAGTGCCAGCGCGGGGCCCGGCGGGCACGGCAGGGCGGCGGTTGGCTCTGGCAGGTCCCGGCAGAGCCCCAGCCGCTGGGATTCCCCTCTGTGCCATGCACCCTCCCCGCCTCCTTCCCTCCCTCCTGCAAAGCTTGGCCAGGTCCCGGCTCTCCAGGAGCTGGGAGATGGGGGTGGCAGCAGCAGAGGCCTCCCAGGTGGGCTGGGATGAAAGCTGGCGCGGGGAGCGCTTTGAAGATGAAAAGCGCCCGTGTGTTCTCCCAGGGCAGCCTCGCATGGCACCACAGCTCCCCCGGCGCCTCAGGTGCCACCTGTGCCCTGCAGTCACCGTGCTCCTGATGTCCCATGCAGGCAGGTGTCTGCTGGGGAAGGTGACGTCAAAGCCACCAGCAAGCATCTGCACCCAGGGACCCCACCTGAACCCTGGGGCTGCCTCTGTCTCCCTTCAGTGGCAGCTCCCCAGCAGCTGCCGGCCAAGGCAGCACCACGGGCCCTTGGCTGGGCTTCCATCCAGCCCTTGGGGTCCCCAGAAAAGCTGTCATAAAGAAGAATTTACCACCCCAGCTTGATTTCTGTTGTGTTCTGTTTGTGCTGTTGTGTGTCCACACAGATCCCCTGCTTAGGGTGCAGGGTCCACGTGACTCCCGCTGGGTTATTGTCAGGTCCAGCTGCTGGGAATGTGGAGGGAGGATGTGGTGTCAGGACATGGTGACAGGACACGGGGATGGCATGTGGCTGTGAGTCAGGCTGATGAAGTGCTCTGGGAGGACATGCATACCCAGGGGATCCTTAATGATGGCACGGGGCACTGTGGTGCCTCCCCAAAGAAAACACTCCGGAAACCAGAGGGTGACAGGGACCCTGGGCAATCGCCTGGGGACAGGCTTTGCCCTTGGGGAAATCTCTGAGGGAACCAGATCCTCGCTGGTGCTGGGACCGGCTGTGCTGTCGGATTCCTCAGCGTGGTGTGTCCCAGGGCTCGGTCTAAATTTGTTGCTATTGCTAAGGAGAAGAGGGGGGGCCCACCAGTCCCCAGCCAGTAAAGGGCTGGGCTGTCCCTCAGGTGCTGCCAGTCCTTGGTGTGGCTCTGGTGTCCCATGCCCAGCATGAATGGGACCTGATACGGCCATCCAAAGCCCTGTGTGCTCATGTGTGCACGATCCCATGCACGCAGGATGTCTGTGTGTCCATGTGCACGCGTGTTTGTGAGCAGCATTTCGATGTGCACACACAGATGCACACACAGCAGCCTTGTTCCTGAACCAGGAGTCTCCATCTGACCCTCACCCATGGGACTGCCAGCATGAAACCCTGGCACAGACACGTTCAGACACATGTGTCCCCCCCCAGAATGCCCCCCCATTGCATGTCCCTGCTGGGGACAGCCCCATGCTCCCTATCACTTTCCCTGGCAGCTGCTTCCCGGTGGCTCCGGTTTCATGGGGAGCACAGCTGAGGCCATCAGTTATTCCAGGGAGGAGGGACAGCCGGGGAAATGTCCATCACCCTCACCCTCTGCGCTGAGATTCCCCACGGGTGCCCCACGAGCAGGCAGGAGCTGCAGGCAGGCAGCCAGGCCAGAAGGAAAACCCGCAGCACCGCCCCCCGTGTTTTCCATTTTTTAATTATTCCCCACTGATGAGCATCTTCTGGAAGCGCCAACAACGTCACATGCTTTAATCAGCGTTAATTAGCGGGTGCCTCGGGACAGTGATGAGGGCAGGCAGCAGGAGCCCCCCTCTGCTGCGTGCACAGCCGGTGTCGGTGCCAGCACCCACCACCTCCCGCTCCCAGCCCCTGTAACCCACAGCCCCCTCCCCACCCACGAGCCCCCAGCCCCTTCCTGCCTGTCCTGGGGCCCTGCCAGCCCCTGCCACTGCAGTGTCTGCTCCCAGCAAGCGCCTTCCAGAACTGGGCCACTGGCCATCCGAGGACTGGTCCCCATGAATGTCCCCAAGGATACCCCCTGCTCTTTCTGTCCTCTCTGAGAGCTGGAGAAACCCAGCTCCATCCCATGAGGAGCCGTGCCTGTCCTGCCAGAGATGGGGACAGTGGCTGGGGCCATGCTTGGAAGGGGACAGCCTGTGGGCCTCTGCATGGCTGTGTCTGGACAAAAGGGGAAGGAGGGACACCACCAGCCTCCATGCTTATCAGGATTCCTGTCCCATCCAGCTCCTCTAATCCTGCAGGAAAGTGGGATGGTGGGGCATTTACAATATCCATAACCAGTGAAAAGGCAAAGCCCCCATCATGTCTGGGGTCCCTCTGCATGCATATGGTCTCAGGGGCTCTCAGAGCCCCATCACTGGGGGGGTCTTGGAGCCCTGTCCCCAAGACAAAACCCTGAGGTCCAGCAGAAATTCGGGGAGAGGATCTGAGGTGAGATCAGGGGGTTTCCATATGCTGGAGCCCACTTTGGCAAGTCTGGCTTTGTCCCACTCCTGCAGCTCCTGCAGCTCCAGCTCCTGCAGCGCCCTTCACCCCTGCCCACGGTTCCTCCAGCATGGCCGTGGTGACACTGCAGACTTCTGAAAAATGGGATAAACGAGAGTAAAAAAATAAACTCATGGCCAAGTTTCCCTGCAGCAGCTGGGGCATCTTAGCCGCCCCCAACCATCCCTTGTCCCGGACTTGTCTCTCAGTGCTGGCACTGCCGTGGGCACGTTAGAAGCTGGTGGGTCGGATCATCATGCGGGTGCCCTTCAGGGAGTAGCTGGGCCCCTGGAAGTGGTGCCAGCGGATGCCGTTGAGCTTGCGGATGTTGTTCCGGGCCGGGTAGTAGATGCCATTCAGGTTGGAGAGGCCACAGGCATCAAACCACCATCCTGTGGGAAGGGAGAAGGGCAGGGAGGTGGCATCGCAGGCTGGCACCCATGGGTGCTGCATGGGGGTGTCCCCCTGCTCCACTCACCTCCCGACAGCATCTGGGCACACTTGCAGAGGCAGTTGTCGTTGTCGGCGTCGCGGGTGCTGAACTGGGTGCCCTGCAGTGCCAGGCCACTCTGCTGCCCAGCTGTGCCACTGTAGTCCTGCAGCGACAGCCTGTGCCCAGGAACACAGCCACTGTCACTGCCGGCTGCCAGGGGGTCACAGAGCCCCCAGCACCGCTCAGGGGCTGCCAGGAGATGAACACAGCACAGAGGGATGTGGGCAGAGATCCTGCAGTTCCAGCTTGGCCTCCTGTCCTTGGCCCCCAAGAGTGGGGGTTGTGGTATGCTGGGGCAGAGAGGACCCCCAAGTCTCCTCTGGTTCTCTTGCTGGGGTCAGCTCGGTGCATGCATGGGTTGGATGGTGCAGGGCATGTCTGGGGTCTGGTTCCACCTCCAGCCCAGCTGCTTTCCACCCTCCTGCCCATGGCCAGGAGTACATGGTCATGGCAAGCTAAGCATTAGGAGCACAGCATCCCTTTGTGGACATGGACAGCCTGAGGAAACCCAACACCCCTGGAAATGCCTGGTGGCCACAGCTGTATCACCTCCCTTGCCCAAACAAAGAACCTCAGTGCAAGTGCCCACGTTGCTCCCATGGGGATGGCAAATCCCACTGTCTTGATGCAAGTTTATACATTAAAAATCTACTTCTCAGAAGCCCAGGGAGAGATGAAAGTGTCACAGCAATGTGCCTGGCACCTGGCACCATAACTACACCAGGACAACCCAGTGAAGCCCCCGGTGATCCTGCACCTCCCCGGGACACCCCACCCAGCCCTTCACTGTGGGCACTGCTGCCCACAGGGCTTGGGGACAGTCAGAGATGGGGAGTTCGGGGTGGCTGTTCCCACAGTGCCTCTCTCCTACCTGTAAAACTGCCGCTCACTGCCCAGCTGGAATTTCCCGTAGTGGGCATACACCTGGCCGCCCTCCCAGTCCTGCAGCTCCACCCGCAGGGCGTAGGGCACCCGGCTGGTCAGCAGGTGCACGGCCTCATTCCCCAGCCAGTACTCCCCGGACGCGTCCCCAAAGCCCTGTGGAGCAGCAGGGGGATTGTTCAGGCTGCCCGGGGTGCCCCCAGGGTGTCCCCCTCCCCGGCCAGGCACACACCTGCTTGTACTCCCTCCAGCTCCTCTGGAAGCTGAGGCTGCCGTTGGCACGCAGCTGGATGATGGTCCAGCCCCCTCGATCCGTCTCCATGTCACAGTATGCCTGCAAGGGGAGCGAGGGACACCTGCGGGTGGCTCGGAGCCAGGTGCATCCCTGCCAGGCTGGGCAGCTCAGCGTGGGTGCTCTGTGGGTGCTAGAGCTGGCTGAGGGGCTGGTGAGGGTGTGCCGTGCCCGTGCCTGGCTGAGGGCTCTCTCCTCCCTCCATGGCTGTGGACAGCGGCTGGGGTCTGGTGCTTATAGGTCAGGGTGCCTAAAATCAGTTTTATGCCCTCATTTGGAAGGCTGTGCCAGCTCTGCTTTCATCCCGTGGGTGCTGCCTTCACCCCTGTGCAGCCCCCAAGGCTGGATGGGGTGGGGAAACTGCCCTGGGATGTGCCAAGCAGCAGGGATCTGGTGTGGGGCTGGTGTGCACTGGGTGGGCAACACTGGGTGTGGCAGGGAAGCCCTCTCTGGACTGTGCTCACCTTTTTGGGCTCGCTGAGGTTGGCAATGTGCAGGGTGTAGATGCCACTGGCATGGATGCCCGCCCGGCGCACCTCGGCACAGTCCTGGAATTGCTGCTCCTGCCCAGGTGACATGGCTGTGGCAGAGGGGACAATGAGAAGGCAGAAACTGTGATGGCCCTGCAGCCCTGCCACGCTTTGCTGCTCTTCCCTCTCCCTTTATGCTCACAGATTATTTTTTATCTTTTGTGCCATCTCCTGAGGGCTGAGCAAGGCAGCTGTGCCACCAGGGCTGCTGCCAGCCTGACCCCTGGGGGTTTGCCATGG